TATAAGCACAAAAATTACTAGATTGCTTAAGTCGCAAGTTTACCAGGAATTTAAAAGCAAAGAAAACAGCCAGAATATTAACCATTTCTTAAGAATGAAAACGTTTCGGAGTCCAGCTCCATCGTCAGTTCAAAAGTTCAAAACCTATAAGAAAATAAGAATCAATTAGAAAACTAAATTCACATCGAAGATAAAAACATAAATTGACAAAATAAAAACAAATACACATAAGGAGACAGGCCTATCTATTTACAATTTCAAGGGGATAGGAGCTGAAGGCTGCATTTAAACCAGGTTTCTGTTTAAAAATGTACAGGGATTCTAAAATTCGTAGGTCAGTAACACCAGTCGTGTAAGCTAGAACTCTGAAATCACTATCAGACACCGGAACATTGCACTGCTTGGCATGGACGCGCACAGCTGAATGAGGAGGATGCGCAAGTAAAGTTCCTGTTCTAAAGCTTCTGCCCTTATGCTGCGCAAAAACTCAAATTCTGTGTGCATAGCATTGAAAGTTGTGCAAAGTTCAGAAAGCCATTGGCTTTCTGTTCAGAAAGCCAACGTTTACTGGTTTAAATACCAGCTTTTTTAGTTTTTGCTCATTTTGTTTTAAATTAAATGGGATTAAAACATTATTAAATCGTGGCTTCCGTACTTGTTCAACTTTCTATGCTATGCACACAGAATTTGAGTTTTTGCGCAGCATTTTTTCTTTAAATGGGTTTCCATCGCAACTGATTTATAGTCAAAATTAAGAAATTCATGTCAAGGCAATATAATGAAGTTGTGACAGTAGGAACCTGATTTATTGTTCTTTTCCTACTTTGGTAAAGCCTCTGAGACTATGGCTAGGGAATTGAAAGATTTGATCAATAAATATTTTTGAACTGACAATGGAGCTGGACTCTGAAACGTTTTCATTCTTAAGAAATGGTTAATATTCTGGCTGTTTTCTTTGCTTTTAAATTCCTGGTAAGCTGGGGTAACGAAGACTATCACTTTTTTTAAAATTACATCAAAACTATGAGAGGCAGGAGCCAGCAATTTATGGTGAGTGAAGCTAGTGTATAGACCTGTATTTTGCATGTTTCAATTTAAGTTTAACTTATCTAGCAAAAAAATGGCACCATTTTGAAAAAAAGTGGTCAAGGTTACCCCATTTTACGGTATGTAATGTAAGTACTGTTTTATTACATTTTGGTTAAGGTAGTATATATGGACTATGGTACTAACCATAAGGGTACGGCCAGACTAAAAGCGTTGGCACGTACGCGGGCTCACGCTGTGATATTATATGTATGTATTTCTACCAGAGTGGCCACACTAACGCTGTTGCGGTCCGGTCAACAGGGGTTCACAAAAGCTATGTGAAGATTAGCTCAATCACCCTAAGCTACAATACCTAGCTAAGCCTACCTCCAACCCTCTTGTAATACCTATCCTTGAATACTGCTGCCAGCTCTGGACTCCATTCACACAAGGCGCAATACGGCAACTGGAAGGAGTCCAACGAACCTTTACTTCCAGGATCAGAGGGATGGAAAATTTTAACTACTGGGCGAGGTTACAGCGACTGAGTCTGTACTCACTGCAGAGGAGACGGGAGAGGTATGTCATTCTGTACACATGAAAAATGATAACCGGAATGGTGCCAAACTTCGAGAGCGAGACCTTCAGGATTCAGACATCACAACGAGAGAAGGGGAGACTGTGCAAGATCCCTCCCCTGCGTAACAGATCCGCAGTCAGATTTCAATCCCTGCGGGTAGGATCGCTTTCCGTGGCAGGGCCAAGGCTGTTCAATGCCCTACCAAGGGATCTAAGATAGGGGGAGTTCACCCTGGAGACCTTCAAGAGACAACTAGACGATTTCCTGAGCACAATCCCAGATCGACCTCCCCTGCAACACTACCAGCAGTCGAGAAGCAAGCAACAGCATTGTGCATCAGGTGGCCCAAATGAGGGCGGATGAACGATAATCAGAGGCGGTGATCCATCGTGGCCTGGGACTGCTATGTCCCAAACAAATACTAAAGATACTAAGCATATGTAACCTATCAAATGTATATCTAATCTCATCTGAATGAATTCCTAAAAAGACTAAACAAAGTATATATGGGATTTTCAAATTTATCTTTTATTTCCCTGAAAAACTTTCATCAAGGAAAACAGCTGTTAGTCTCTTGCAGACACTCATTTCTACACACAGACTCGCAGTAAGCCAGCGTCTAGTTTGGACACCATACACGCAGCGCGGTGCTGCTTGGCTTTAAGCGTCAGCCAGCGTACGCGTGAATGCTTTTAGTCTGGCCGTACCCTAAGTACCTATTACTTTAGTTTTCACAAGTGCATTCAAAAACAAATTCTGAAATAGAAGCAACATTTCCATTCTTATATATAAATGGGATTAATAAAATACATTCATTGACCATTGTCATTCATTTTGGTATGTATAGATGACTATTTTACCTCTGTCCATACGATGCTCATTTTTACCGGCTGCAGCTGTAGAATTGAATTAAATTGAAAAAATTAATTGAAAATTTTAATTTCAATTTTTATGTGTTTGAATTTTGAAATAACTTTCCATCATTTAAATCTCAGTATGGAATGTGGATCAAATCTATTTGTGAAATCAAACTTAACACTACCAAAACAAGATGTGGACTGTGGGACACAGTCTTGGCAATGGCATCTTGTCATATGTTAACATGACAGCATAACGTGCCATACGCCAAGAAAGATTTGCATTTTATCCCATCATTTTATGTGGTTTAAAAAACTTTGTTGGTATTGGTGAAACTTTGAAAATTTTCTGCAAAAGTTGATGTACTTTTTTTTTTATTTTTGAACATATTCATTGCAAAATTTTGTCAGATATGGATAAAGGACTTGTGAATGTAATAGAGTAAGTCGTCGCCAACCCAGTATTGAATTTCAAACATGCAATATGAGAAGCATCGCAGTTTCTGACTAGCTCAGTGGATCAATTGTCACCGCAGTGGAAAGTGTAATGTGGTAGTCTTTTTGATCAATTTTCTTATATAAATATGAGAATATATTACCCATCCAGAATTCATTCACACATAATGCCAACAGTACCCAAGATCATTGCCAGCACCCGGCAGTCTTCAAGATGCTTAGCAAACACAATTTTCATCAAAATTAACTTTGAAGAGTGTACATTCAACACCCCAGGTATTGCAGTACTTAGACAATTGCGTTGCAACCAAAGTTATCAAATTGTGTATCCTGCTTTGCAGCCTCGTCTCACCAACCAGAAATAAGAAATTTTAAGCCACATGCCACAAAAGAATCAGAGCTTATTGCATCATTTCATGTGGTACCAAAAACTTTGTTGGTATTATTGAAGTTTTTTTTTTAATATTTTCTATTATCAAAGTTTTTAAACTTTTCTGCAATAGTTGATGTAATTTTTTTATTTCAGAACATATTCATTGCAAAAATTATTTGGTTATGGATAAATGACTAGTGACAATTATTGAGAATGGCATCATGGAGATCCACATGCAGTTGGTAAATCACATGACATCAGAATAGCAGCTGCCTCTCATTAGCTCAGTATACACCTTGGCATAGTGGTGGGAGGTGAACTGTGTTAGGCCTTCTGATCCATTTTGTTATACAAGCATAAGAATACATTACCTATCCAAAAGTGCACACTGGAGCAAGTTTCTAGAAATTTTTGGCACTGTATCAATAGCAAAATTTAGATTTTCAGAATATCTTTCTAACCAGAGTGCAGACATTGGAAGCTGCATTGCCAAGATTTGGTTTTAAGCCCAAAACATTGCCAGCAGTATTTAAGATTTGGTGCTGCTTTGCAGCAGTATTTGGTATGCATTGCTAAGTAACTTTTAATAAAGAAGCTAGTAAAAGTTCAAAGAGTATAACTCCCTCTCCATTAGGAACCACAGCAACAATTCAGGCATTATATCAAAATTCCAAATTTAGAAACTTTGAATTTTCATTTTCAAGATCAAAATATTTTAGATAGAGCAGAGTTTCAGTAGATAATTTGATGATTCTCAATTTTTATCAGATGCATCCCTGCTGTATTGGGTACCATAGTTGTCAGTTCTCTTTTGCTGATCATTTTCAGTTTGTCTTGGCAAAATAAATTTTCTTGTACTGGTGTCTCCTTAATAATCAGAGTTATCATTGATATAAATAACTTGAGCCTGCTTCTATATGATGGATGTCAAGTGAATGTTACAAATTACTATAAATTTCTACTTTTATGTGTCTGGATGTTGCCCTGCCATGGTGTCTCTCTCCCTAATGATCAAAATTATCATATCAATAAACAATTTTAGTCTGCATCTATAGGATGGATGTCAAGTGAATGTTACAAATTACTATAAATTTCTACTTATATGTGTCTGGTTGTTGCCCTGCCATGGTGTCTCTCTCCCTAATGATCAAAGTTATCATATCAATAAACAATTTTAGTCTGCATCTATAGGATGGATGTGAAGTGAATGTTACAAATCACTGTAAATTTTTGCTTTCAGGTGATGGGACGGTGTTGGGAGCAGATGAAGTCCCACCTCCATATGACCACAGCACCACAGGCAGACCCATGGTCACCTGCAGGGTGTGCCAGACCATGATAGACATCAGTGGCAAGATGGAACAGCATGTAGTCAAGTGTGCAAAATGCTCTGAAGCAACTGTGAGTTACATTTAAGTCTGGAGAAACTAATTATCCATATTGTTTGAAAAATAGTATTTTTTCATTTTGCACTATTTTCACAGAATATTTCTGTTCCTTTTTAATAATTTTCTGTCATACTTCTCAGCATTTTTTTCAATTTTTTTTTTTTTTTTGTTATTGAAGAGATGAGGTCATCAGGATACTAATTTTCTTTCTTTTGTTTGGTTGATACTTTTATTCAGGTCACTTTTTTTTGCTGACACTCTCCTCCAGGACACTTTTCATTCAGTTAGTCTCATCCATGACACACTTTTGTTTAGTTGATAGTCTCATCCATGACACACTTTTGTTCAGTTGATAGTCTCATCCATGACACACTTTTGTTCAGTTGATACGCTTTCATTATCATGAGCCTTTGCATTTGTCATGTGCAGCCCATCAAGAATGCACCCGCAGGCAAGAAATACGTGCGATGTCCGTGCAATTGTCTACTTATATGCAAGAGTCGGTCCCAGCGTGTTGCGTGCCCCAGGTCTTCATGCAAACGTTTTGGTTGATACTTTTATTCAGGTCACTTTTTTTTGGCTGACACTCTCATCCAGGACACTTTTCATTCAGTCGATAGTCTCATCCACTACACACTTTTGTTCAGTTAAATAATAATAATAATAGTGGTTTCAGCATTTAGTAGGCCGTAGGCCTGTCACCGATTCTTAACATCGCAGAACATTCACAGCATTTTGCGGTCTCGAACTCGCAACTCACTGCTACAATTCTGCTGTGCTTAACCGCCCGGCCTCCTTGCCGATTCTGACCAGAAACTGGCGCACAGAGCTAGGATCGAACCCGCGCCTCTCTGCGCCAATCTTGGTACTCTGAAGTTCTGAACTTTAACCACCACTCATTCATTAACATGAACCTCTGCATTTGTCATGTGCAGCCCATCAAGAATGCACCTGCAGGCAAGAAATACGTGCGATGTCCGTGCAATTGTCTACTTATATGCAAGAGTCGGTCCCAGCGTGTTGCGTGCCCCAGGTCTTCATGCAAACGCATCGTCAATTTGTCACCCCCGCCTGTGAACCCTAACACCCCCACAGCCCCGGGCATGTGCCGAGTCACCTGCGCTCACTGCAGTATGATCTTCTTGGTGCGTGTGTTTAGCTCACTACTTCAGTAAAAGCCTTCATTTTATACTCAAGTACTACGGTACTGCTGTTATTACAAAATACTTGAAACTCTAATTGAATGACGGTGTAATATCATCTGTGCTAAAAAATTTTCCAATTTGTTAGTGTAACGCATCAATTCACAGAAAAAGTCTGTGGAGTCTTTGAAATTATAATATGGTCCTTATTAGCTTTTGATCAAACGCATTTTCACATTTTCTTTATGTACGTGCTTTTAATAACCTTTATTAATGATGGCTGATACTTGGCATTCTGATGAAGTAACCTACAATAGCTAAGTTACTGACTTACAGCCTGCCTTCCCTAATGCAAGCCAAGAAAGCTTCAGAAGGACGATCAACATTGCCTGATATTTTGTTGAATTGAAATTCATTTTTGGAAGATTTTAATGAGCCTTTCCTCTATTTTTCAGTTCAACACTCTGACAAATGCTTTGGCAAGATGTCCAAACTGCAGGAAAGTGTAAGTACCCACGCAGCCTTCTTCCATCGCTCCAGTCTTATAAACTTTACCCAACTTTCTGTGTATGATAAACAGGGCCTTGTTATGTTACTTCATTAATTAAAAGCTCATTACCACAATCCCACACTCATTGTCAGCTTTTTAAAATTAATTTCCATTTTTATTTTAGAATCAGAATATGTGCCTCAGTTTAGAATGAAACCTTACATTTTTTGTGAAAGTTTTTTTATGCTCTTTTTAACGCAACTTGATTGAAAACTCACAAGTCATTGACTGTAGTTTGATGTGGAAATCATTGTTCTGTTCAGGTCAAGCGTTGGCAGGGAATATGCCCGCTGCAAGACCCTGATATTTTTGACGTTGTCGGTCCTCATGCTCATCATTTGTGCCGTGGTCGTCTTCACCACCATGTCCTACACCAACGCCGGTCATCCTGCTGTATATCTCATATACATAGGTCAGTTGCATTGATGCTAAGAAAAATTATCTGCATCTCAAATATGTACATACTTTTTACTAACCCGAAATGTGCTTTATATTTTTTGGTACTTTTTTCTCAGGGAAGTATTCTTATCCAGGTGTGAATCGCAGATACTTTCCGAGATGATTTTCTCAAAAAATATCAACAATTTGTGCCACTTCATTGGAGAATAATGTGAGCTTTGAGCCTGACTGCTCATAGATCGTCGCGTGAAGACTTTGATCTAACTACATTAGGAAGATTCCTAATGATATGCTATTTTCAGTTCTGTTCCTGGTGCTGGCATTTCTGCTGTACCGGACCATCTATTACTGCTCCATGAAAGTCAGCCTCATAGACGGGCCCTTATAATATTGCAAGCTCTGCACCACCGGGGCCCATTGCTGCTGTACCATCGATAGTGTGTCACCATCTCGCCAGTCACCACCACCGCCAGTCACCACCACCGCCAGTCACTACCACATGTCACCATCACCACCACCAGTTACCACTACCATGGCCTCCACAACCGAATGATTTATTGTTACAATTTTCCTTCGCTTAAATTCATTCTCATCTTGTTTACTGTAAACTTAACTTTGACGGGCTCTTATAGTCTATTTCGAAAGTCTGATTGCAGTTGAAACTTGGGTGTGGCGATGCCTGCTGCTGTTTCGTGCAAACTTGTCAATCTGTTAATTATTAAATAGGGAACTTGCTGCGAATTAGTTTACATTCAAAAATTTTCCCATGCATACAGCTCACATTTTTCTTTGCATGCAAACTTGTTAGTATTCAAAGCTGTGACAAACTTTTTTGCATGAAAAATCGTTATTTTCTATTGATATTTGCGCATTGCTCCGACGAGTGAAGCGGTACGGGCTTAGCAGGACAGGACCAAGTCTTGCAGAGATGCAGGCAGCGGCAAGGTACCTTCATTACTTGCAATTGATGGCTTAATATTATATCACCTTCATATATCTATGCTCATCTCTGTGCGTATTGCCTAGTAGTAGTTGGCGTATTATTCAAGTTTTCAGCGCATGCTGCAAATTGAACCACAAAATATTGTGTATCTGAAATGTTTTTCAGTAGTCCTAGAGTTTATTTTCTTTTGTTTGTAATAGATGCTAAGTTATTTTTTTAAATGTCAACTTCATTGCTTTGTATACTTGATCCTTTCTTATGATCATTTTAATGTAAACCAGTCGCCTTCTTTACCTCTAATTTAGCAAAAAAATTGGACTTGTAAAATTGAATTAGATGCCGAATTTCCCAGTCATTGTTTTTACTTCATATACTAATGAAATAAACGTGACGAGAGCTGGACTGCTCGCTCAATTATTGGACCGAATTAAGCATTCAAGCTATTGACTCTGAGGACATCGCTTGGCAGGAACGCTAGTGTCTTGCATCAAGGTGTGCCAGTGAAAAGTTTAATAGGGATACATCATTCCTGTTTTAAGTAATAAGGAACAAAATAGTTGCATATTGGGAGCTTTGACTATTCGGTATAATAATGCTTTCATTGAAAAATTTCAAATCAAGGGGTGCAGTGATCTTGGAACTCATCACCTTCTGCCCGAGCACTTTGGTGGTGCCTGCTCTCTGCTGCGCAGCTCCTGGGGCCATACTTTCAAAACTCGCTAAGTGAACGTAAGTTCATCAGCAAATCATTGACGGCCTTTCGAGTAAAATCCACCCATCATAGACGAAAAAATAGAGCGTAAATACTTTCGTTCACTTAGCGAGTTTTGAAAGTAAGGCTCCTGGTCTCTTGCCTCCTATAGTAGAGGATGCATCGCTTGTATGAGCTTCTCCTCATCTCCACTGCACTTGTTACATCTGCTTACTGATCTTACTTGTTGTTGAGTGCCAGTGAGGATTCCCTCATAGGTGTACGTGTTGTATACAGAGCAAGTTCTGACAACTCATATTGTGTTCACAGTCTGTTGTCGACTCACTAGTCCTTAGTTTACGCATCATTCGCTAGATTTACTTGTCTAATGTGTTCATGTAGATGTCTACTCATGAGAAAATCTCGAGTGGTAGAAATTGAACTTTGTTAAGTCTTTGTGTATCCGTTTACTTTTTACACTCGTTATAATGAGGCAAAATGTTCGAATGTTTTTGAGATTGTTTGACCACGTGTAAAATTTCATGTTAACAGAACTACTATAATTGGTGGGCAACCCTTGCTCGTGTATTTTATTTAATATCTGCTGATCCGTTTGATGCCCACAGTTGCATCCTATACCGCAAATAATAAAATTATATGCATTCCTCTGTAAATAAACTGAGTCATGTCACCGGCCAAGCTGGCAAACAGCTTACTAGAAGCTGTGGCAGGATAACGCTGCATAACTAGTTTCATCTATTAAGAACTGCATGGAAGAATGATATTTCGATTCCTTCTCATCTTATTGCATTACATTAGCAGAGGTTCTATTATTCTCCGATGTATTGTTTTGTGTGGCTTGGCTCTTTTTGCCCGTATCACAGCTTCTTGCTTTGTCTTTGGATGTATCGATTTGGTCAACTTTCCCTTTATTCCATCAGGTCGAGTTCAGGAGTGAGCATTATTTCAATTAATCGCCATTAAGTTCTATATGTGATGCAAGGCGATTTTGTGCAGTCGAATATGTGCGTGTAAATCGGCATTTTCGCGTAGTTATTCCTAGAATTGTAATTTATGTCAACATATTACCTGTATTTAGTGTAACTTGTTTTTACTCTAGAATTTTAACATTTACAATGTTTGATGAAGGTACAATGCTGGCAGGTAGGTGTTGCGCGTAGTTGCGGCTAAGTTTTGTTGCTGTAGATTGGGCTTATTGAAGAAAACTTCTTGCAGAGTGTTACTTTGGATACTTTCTACTGAATAAAAACACCTTTTTACTACTGTCAGAACCTAATTTTCTCCAGTAATTTGGAAGGCTCCTTTCAAGGTACTTGTGCCCCGTTTTGTATTTCAAATTACTTTTCTTACTCCGTAAGTCATGAGGAACTTTGCTCTTGTTCTAAAAAATACACAAGTTTTGTGTTCTCTCGAAGGTTACGCAATGACAGCTCGCTCACTCTATACACAGTCCGCATTTATTGGTCGTCGACAACCTGAAGCAAACTGGCCTTAATTCGACAATATTTTGTGATATTTACATTAGCATGCAAGTAAAAATTTGTGTAAGCTAACCCTAACGGTACGACATACGAGAGGGGCTGTGTTTTATGCTGAGGAATGAATTTTACCTCAACCGAGTGAGGGATTGTCCGTGCGATACGGAGCGCGAGCGGCTACCTCTCTACATTCCTATGCTATCGTCCGAACAGGAAATCTCCCCAGAATCTATTAGGCCACCAAATATATAGAACAACTATAACATGGTAATAATTTATTATCCTCGTGTTCTGTATCCCTAATGTTCATGAATCCCACTTGTTGACTTCGAGCTTCAAAGTGCTGCTCCTGTGATGACATTAATATGGATTAATTCGCCGTTTCTGTTACACAAGCGGACGAAGCTCGTATTCTTGGATGAGTAGCGAAATAAGATTTGGAATCTCATTTATTTATTAGACTGCTTAGTTATTATCAAGGAGTTTACCACGTCAGGAATAACTCCGAGTCCATTGACCTTAATATATGAGCTATTTTCAAATGTAATGAATCATATAAATGATCATACTGCACAAATGATACTACTTTTTAACATGAACAAACGACCTCATTTGTCAGGCTGTCCCAATCGGTACATACTACCAATTAGTAACCTTCTAACCTAAAGCGCCCTAATTACTATTTGTAAGCGTGCCACAGCCTATTAACCTAAAGTCTAAACTCTAAACAATCTCAAGAGGCGCAAATTCCCCACAAACGCGTGCAATATTCATGTAGTATTAGTACTGCGTCGCTACTATAATCGCGTCATGTAATATCTAATCTCGAATATTGACCAGTAAGCCTGTATTTTGAGGCATCAAGTGAAGAGAAAAACTATCGCGCAATAACAACGGTATTTCAATAGCACTAACAACTGAGTCGTCATAACACAAGCTAAAAAATAAAGCCGTCACAATACGAACTAATAATGACGGCATTACAACGCGTGGTAATAAATTAAGCCGTCATAATAAGAAATAATTAATGACGGCGTCACAACGCGAAATAATTAATGACGGCGTCACAACACAAGCTAATTGATGCCGGCGTCACAAGACGAAATAATTAATGACGGCGTCACAAGACGAAATAATTAATGACGGCGTCACAAGACGAAATAATTAATGACGGCGTCACAACGCGAAATAATTAATGACGGCGTCACAACACAAGCTAATTGATGCCGGCGTCACAAGACGAAATAATTAATGACGGCGTCACAAGACGAAATAATTAATGACGGCGTCACAAGACGAAATAATTAATGACGGCGTCACAACGCGAAATAATTAATGACGGCGTCACAACACGAAATAATTAATGACGGCGTCACAACACAGGCTAATTGATGAGGCCATCACATGCTAATTCATGCGGCCGTGTTAAGCTAATCAATAACGCCGAGCTGTCGGCCGACGGCCGTGAAGGCAGCCACGGTCCTGTCGATGTCGTCGGTGGTGTGCGCTGCTGAGATCTGCACGCGGATGCGCGCCTTGCCTACGGGCACCACCGGGTAGCTGAAGCCCACCACGTAGATGCCCCGCTCTGTGGTGGATGACGAGAGGGCATGGATGTAACACCAGGGTTATATAGATCACCTCACACTTAGGAGCATATGTTCAGTCTTGAAATGCCTGGCACCTAACGGACCAGGCAATAAGTCCAGCAGCTATCTCAATCAATCGTCAGTTACGGAAAGATCGGGTTCCAAACGCCGGATCCCTTGTGAATCAAGTCACGAAAAGTACAAGAATCGGCAACAGGCCATGGGCCTATTTCTTCAGTACCGACACTTCTATTCTATGNCTAAGCATTAAGCACGTCACGCTAAGCATTAAGCACGTCACGCTAAGCATTAAGCACGTCACGCTAAGCATTAAGCACGTCACGCTAAGCATTAAGCACGTCACGCTAAGCATTAAGCACGTCACGCTAAGCATTAAGCACGTCACGCTAAGCATTAAGCACGTCACGCTAAGCATTAAGCACGTCACGCTAAGCATTAAGCACGTCACGCTAAGCATTAAGCACGTCACGCTAAGCATTAAGCACGTCACGCTAAGCATTAAGCACGTCACGCTAAGCATTAAGCACGTCACGCTAAGCATTAAGCACGTCACGCTAAGCATTAAGCACGTCACGCTAAGCATTAAGCACGTCACGCTAAGCATTAAGCACGTCACGCTAAGCATTAAGCACGTCACGCTAAGCATTAAGCACGTCACGCTAAGCATTAAGCACGTCACGCTAAGCATTAAGCACGTCACGCTAAGCATTAAGCACGTCACGCTAAGCATTAAGCACGTCACGCTAAGCATTAAGCACGTCACGCTAAGCATTAAGCACGTCACGCTAAGCATTAAGCACGTCACGCTAAGCATTCAGCACGTCACGCTAAGCATTCAGCACGTCACGCTAAGCATTCAGAACGTCACGCTTAGCATTAAGCACGTCATGCTAAGCAATAAGCGTTACGCTAAGCATTAAGCACGTCACGCTAAGCATTCAGCACGTCACGCTAAGCATTCAGCACGTCACGCTAAGCACTCAGCACGTCACGCTAAGCATCACGTCACGCTAAGCACTCAGCACGTCACGCTAACCCAGCATGAGGTCGGCAAACTGTGCAGCCAGCCTGGCGTCGCCGAGCATGACGGGGCAGATGGGATGGTCGTCACCGGCGATGATGAAGCCTGCGTCAGTCATGCTCGTCCTGAAGCGCGACGTGTTCGCCTGCACGTCACGCACCAGTGACGAGTCCTTCAGCAGCAGCTCCATCACCTGAAGGGAACGCGAAAATGACAAAGAGGTAACGAGGGACTAGGGCTTAAAAATATTAATAATTAAGTGACGACGAACGAGTTATAACAAGTGCGTTATATTAAACGTCCCAAACTACAAATGTAGCCAAACAAGAGTTCAGTAACATGTGCTTATCCTGAACAAGTGCAGAATAAAAATAGTTTAGTAGCATGTGCATGTGTATCCTGAAAAAGTGTAAGGTAACCCGTTTTCCATAACATGTGTTGCGGAACAAGTGTGGAGGACAAGTGCTCCTGTTTGAACAAGTGTCAAGCAGGGGAATTTCTTCCCCAAGAGAAGAAAATGTACCCCGAGAGAAGAAAATGTACCCCAAGAGATGAAAATGTACCCCAAGAGAATAAAATGTACCTTAAGAGAAGAAAATGTACCCCAAGAGAAGAAAATGTACCCCAAGCGAAAAAAATGTTCCCCAAGAGGTGAACATGTACGCCAAGAGAAGAAAATGTGCCCCCAATAGAAGAAAATGTACCCCCAAGAGAAGAAAATGTACCCCAAGCGAAAAAAATGTTCCCCAAGAGGTGAACATGTACGCCAAGAGAATAAAATGTGCCCCCAATAGAAGAATATGTACCTCCAAGAGAAGAAAATGTACCCTAAGAGAAGAAAATGTTCCCCAAGAGAAGAAAATGTACCTCAAGAGAAGAAAATGTTCCCAAGAGAAGAAAATGTCCATAAAGAGGTGAACATTTCCCCCAAGCAATGCATGTTCCCAAGAAAATGTACCCCCAAGAGAAGAAAATGTACCATAAAAGGTGAACAGTTCCCCCAAGCAAGGCATATTCCCCAAGAGCAGCTCTTCACCTTGTTCGCACAAGCCACCACTGGGGGCGGGAGGGAGTTGGAAAAAAGGTAGGGTCGCGCCCTTTGCCTGAGGAGCGCCACGAGCTCCTTGGACCCTGTGGTGTAGCCTCCTGCAGCGCCTCCGAGAGCCTTGCCCAGGGTGCTGTTGATGATGTCGACGCGGGTGTTGGGAAAGCCGAAGAATTCCTCTGTTCCTCTGTAAACAAACTCCTTTTATAGCAACAGCCATGAAGTAAAATATGCGTTTAAAAGTAATTTTTAAAGACCACACTTCTAAAGAGGCCGGCGTCTCCGATGTTACACATGTACAATGACTTTCTTATTTTATTTGTAATATTAAAAAAATTGCTATTTTAAAATTTTTTTATTTGTTAATTTTTTTAAATTTTCTATTTTTTAATTCTGTCAATTGAGTCATGCATTGTCTCCGACTTGAAGCAAGTGTGCAAAATTTCAGATCGATTGGACAGGTAGAAATGTGTTTAATATCGATTCTAAGATTAGTACCAGTGACAAACAAACAAACAAGAAATGAAGTTAAAGAGAAGTGTAGTAATATGGTTCAAAAAATCATCTTAGTATTTTCAATCGTTTTCATTCCTGATTGTGATTATATGGCATGTAGTGAGAACGATAGTGACTAGATAATTGGATGAATTTTGTTACAATAGAAGCCTACAGTTGTAGTACTACACAGCTCGTAACATGTCACCTACGACCTACCTGCCGAAGAAACCCCCGTTATATCACTCGCCTCATGAAAAAAACGTGGCATGTCATCCACCTGCCCATTTTGCCGAATAAACACGTGAAGTGACACTCGCCTCCCGAAAAAACCGTGTCACCCACCTGCCCATTTTGCCGAATAAACACGTTAACAAACTCCTTTTATAGCAACAGCCATGAAGTAAAATATGCGTTTAAAAGTACTTATGAAAGACCACACTTCTGAAGAGGCCGGCGTCTCCGATGTTACACATGTACAATGAATTTCTTATTTTATTTGTAATATTACAACAATTGCTATTTTTAAATTTTTTTATTTGTTAAATTTTTTTTTCAATTTTCTATTTTTTTATTCTGTCAATTGATTCATGCATTGTCTCCGACTTGAAGTAAGTGTGCAAAATTTCAGATCGATTGGACAGGTAGAAATGTGTTAAATATCGATACTAAGATTAGTACCAATGATATACAAAAAAGAAATGAAGTTAAAGAGAAGTGTAGTAATATGGCTCCAAAAATCATATTAGTATTTTTAATCGTTTTCATTCCTGATTGTGATTATATGGCATGTAGTGAGAACGAAAATGACTAAATAATTGGATGATTTTTTTACAATAGAATTCTACAGTGGGACTACACAGCTCATAAAATGTCACCTACCTGTAGAAGAAACCTGTGCCATATCACTCGCCTCTCGATAAAAAAACCTTTATCATGATACCCACCTGCCTGTCAAGCCTCAGAAACCCGTGGCATGTCAACCACCAGCCGTAGAAACCTGTAACGTGACACTCGCCTGTCGAAAAAATCGTGGCATGCTACCCACCTGCCGAATAATCCTCGCCTGTCGAAAAAAAAGTCATGTCACCCACCTTCCCGTCTTGCCGAAGAAGCCCGTGGCATGACACTCGTCCACGAAGACGAGGGCGTTATGTTTGTCCGCCAGTTCGCAGATTTGCGGAAGCGGCGCCACGTTTCCGTCCATACTGAACACTCCGTCCGTCACGATCAGGCGCGTACGGCAGCTCTGCGCCTCCGTCAGTTTCTGGTCCAGGTCTGTTGAAGTAATCGTGATAGTATTGTGAATGGCCTGGGGCAAATTTCTTTCGTGCATAAAACTTTTTTTTTAGGCACCACGAAATTTGACATTTTTAGGCTTTTTATTTATATTTTTAGGCAGTGTTTTCAACGCTGAGTTTGCTTTGACAAGTGTACCTGCGACATTCAACAAAAGGAACTATTTCGTTGAAAAACCATTATATAAATATTAAAATAAATCAGATTATTTCGAATATTTCAATCCGCCATATGTTTAAAAAATGTGACTAAAGAATGGCATGCAAGTCCAAAAAAGCTTCTACAAGAATTTGATTTTTGCTCGTGTATCGAATCAGTAGACAACGTAGAGGTTTCCGTAGACAAAAGTTTCAGACCAAGTATAAAAGGTTCTGATAGTCAACTGTCTCTATAGTGAGGTTTTCGGACTCGTGCCTTCGAGTGTAAGTTTTTGAAATATTTGTTTTGGTATATAGCATCAGCTGCGTGATACCGTTTGTTCATAGGAGTTTCCATGAGTATATATGACAAGCCAGGACGTGCTGTTAAAACAAATTTAAAATAAGTTAGTGACTGGAGATGTTTTTCTGAAGTGTTTCTATCAACAACATGGTGATATATTGATTAAAGCAATTCTATGTTATCAAACGCATTGTGATTACGTCATAATGACGTAATTCTTATGGGTAGTCGCGTCATAATGACGTCAGAAGTCCTTCACTCAGGAAGAAATCTGACGTGCGTCTATGCTCGTCAGAAGTCCTAAGGGATTTCGCGATCCTAGGGGGATTGTTCCTGAGCGCCCTATCGCTAAGCTCGCGGTATCTGCATGACAGCAGATCTCAGTTGTGGGGTTAAGTTATTATGTGGGCAGGATTCCTTACATGAAGTTATTATGTAGGTAGGATTATTTACATTTCTCTTCTCTGTCTCTCTCGTGCGGGAGGCCGACGTCCCGTCTATAAGCGACCTCTTGTTCGAGTGTCATAGTTTCTGTTGCTTTTCACCTGTCCCTCCTTATCACCTGTCCCTCCTTGTCACCTGTCCCTCCTTGTCACTTATCCCTCCTAGTCTCTTGTCCCTCCTTGTCACATCGTCTATTTGAGATGCTAACGCTGCTCTCTCGTGCCAGTTTCAGCGGGCTAAACACCTGATATCTTCCGCTCCTTGTGGGTGATGAAACAATTGAGAAATTTTCAATAATGGAGAACTTCCACCTTACTGACGATGTTAATCTTTGACCTCCGGCGCAAAATGGCTTGGTAGCTGAAGCGCTAGCAAACCATCCTACTCCTCCGTAATTATTAAGCGAAGTTACGCCATAATGACGTAATTATAAGGCGTAGTTACGTCAGGATGAAGTAGAACCTTTGCCACTTAGCGAATGAGAACAACACCATGTGACTCTCGCTTCTTTTATTGCATTTATACTCAACTGTTCTCATTTGAGTAAATTTCGGGAAAATTCAATGATGAAAACACTGAAGCAAGCCACAGCTGCCTTGCATTTAACTGGTCTTTCTTCCATGACGGATAGTTTAGGTGCGTTTAAAATCCAAGATATTTTGTGAGAAGTTTCACCCAGCCGATAATTCCTTATGACACAAGGGTGGCATTTTTAATGCAAGAATTGTTATACCGACGCCAGCTAAAACATTTTCTGACGATGAACGATGTCTGCAATGGTTGCGTACTGTGTATATTCTTGTCAAAAATTTGTTCCGTGAGTTTTTTTATTTATTATTACTTCTTTTGCAGGGCATTTTTATCTTCACTTCTGATCTGCTGACAAACAGGAATTATGGCCGAACAAGGGTACAAAGACAAAGTAATGGGAAAAAGTAAAGTAAATTTTGATAGCGCCATCGATAATAATGTAAGTGGGGCTAATAATATTGGCAGCAACGACGAAGCTCTTGCTATTGAAAACGTACAGGAAATTCAATCAAGTGAAAATATTTCAGCGGAAGAATGGGAACAAATTGAGAAGAAACTAGAATTTTTGGATTCTTTTCAAAGTGAAAAATCTACAGAAAGACACATTGAATCTTGCCATCAGAATCCTGTGTTTCTAGCCCCCCAACCTCGGCAGCACACCTCGCAGTTCGATCAAACAAGTATTCAATTTCTACTTGACAACGAACAACCAAATCCACACTTGTTTCCTGGCAATCAACTGAATCTACAAAACCCTGAAAATTCAGGTATGTTTTCCTTTCAATCTTGCGATGGAATCAACCAAGACTTCCTGTTCGTCTCTCCGTTGAGGTCGGACGAGAGTTCACCCAACTTAACTAATCCGATGACTCCGTATTACTCTGACATTTCCAGTGCAAGCGCCCCGACTCCCGGTGTGACTGAATCCACCATGTCCACCTCAGGCGATGTAGGGACAGCCTCATTCAACAATGAATTATCCTCGAGTTTGCCACACGCAAGTGTTGGCGAATTCCCGGATAGCTTAGATTTGTTTTCTCTCGCTGAATCCGAAATACAAAACTTTTCTCTACTTTTGAACACGGAGAATGCAAACGCCCAGTTGTCCATTGAAACGGCAAATAGGGCACATCAGCAACAGCCAATCCATCCGCATGAAAGAAATCTGATTGATACAAAAAGTACCGATACCTGGCAGATGACAATACCACAGATGAATGCAAATGAACTGAACATATCTAATAACCCAGAAAACGTCTCCCAACATCTGAACTTGGACAATGGAGAGCAGATTGAAACAGCTGCCTCTGCAACTGCAGCATCCTCGGACATACCGAATAATCAGGACTGGGGTCCTGCCTATTCAGATTTTACATTAGACGTGATTGATATCAGTCCACCAATATTAGAAGACTTAGATTCCAATCCGGAACTTGTCGATGAAGACAAAGAAACCGCGATGGAAGAGTCTACTGCAGCAACGGCAAGCATGTTACCGCGAACTCCGTTGCATGACGTCTCCAGTAACTCTCATTCTACAACGAGTAGCCATAGCAAAGAGGAAACTTCAGTTTCAAAAGAAAATATAAATCCTGATGCTTCCGCTGTAAAACCGTCCAGTTCAAAAATAAAAGTCAATTCAAGAAAACCGAGTTCACGTCCGAGTACCACCACACCAAGTCCTAATTCGATCTCAATTAATTCAAGTGTTTGTTACAGTAATCAAAGCTCGTCGTCGAAACGTACGCAAGAACCTCATATCAGTCAGGTAAACGAGAGCCTAAACAATCCTGGCTCGAATTCTCAACCTTCTACGAGCCATCACTCACGTGCAACAGAATTGAGCAGCGGGCCGATCTCCAATCTTAGGCATCCAGATGCCAGCGATGCGATACCTCAAATATCTCGACCAAAAGTGCCTTCAATTGGCAAGCCAGTTTTCTTCACTTGGAAGAATGAAGAACAGTTCTACACCAAATCCGATCAAAGTTCAGACTCGAGTGATGACTCCTCGTCAGATACCAGCAACAGCACAAACAGAGGGGCGAGTAATGACAAGAAGAACGTCGTTCCCACACGCGGAAAAAGTACAATCCGATCAAGAGAGACGGCAAATGTCGCACAAACCTCGTCTGCTGCAGCGGTGCTTGAAACAAGCAGTCATTCCACTGTCGAAGCTCAGCGAACTTCATCCAACGAACGCCCAAATCGCGAGTCCGAAAATCAAGGCGAAAGTTCAACATCACAGCCGCCAGCTCGGAGGAAACGCGGACGTCCAAGAGCGCTGACAAATAGCGCTGACAAGGATTTGCCAACAACGGACACTGCTTCCAAGATCCAAATTTTGGACAATAAAAAGTATTTGAAACAGGTGGGTAATATATTCCAGTGACCACAACTAGAATTTACTGATTCTATTGATACTGATAATATTGAAAAATTTAGCGTTTATTAGTATTTATACCAAAACTTTAATATAACAAACGATTCAGGAGATAACTCAACACTAAATGTGAGTAGTAACGTTACTGAACACTTGCGGTCCTAGATGTTCCAGCGGCTGCTTATAATCATGCTCCTGAACGCTGGTGGCAAGCATGCCAGTCCAGCTCATTATAATAACTTTACACAGCGCCACAGTTCCGACCAGGTCCAGAAGAGGGCGCGACGCACCTAACGATCTTGGAGAGCTCGCTTCCTCCTCATCTTGTGTGGCGCATCAAAGGCAGGGGCGCTATCACCGGCGACCGCAAACACTACGTCTTTTATAAGTGCTTCAGGACAAACGATGACGACCATCTCATGGTAAGCACTATTTAGGCATTCATCTTCTATAAGAGCAATTAATGCGAGTCCAAATCAGAGTAAATAGACTGTGAAGATTTTTTCGGTCCATTTCTGAGCGTTTATTCAGTCCTGTCGTATCATCATTACCGAGGAAATATAAGTGCTCGGTTACAAAAGAACTAGAGATTTGATGGGTGTTACGTAGTCAATAAGTTTAGTGTTCAGTGTTCACAAAGTGTCCCAGAAATAAAACATTTCGATCTCGTTATTAGGATAATAGGACAACTGGAACAAACTTTCGTCAACATTGCCCCATTTATACATTTCCCATACGCCAGTAGGTCTTATTAAATAGCAAAAAATCACCTTAATAGGGGGCAAGAATAATGTTGAGTATTTTTCACGCAGGTGGGATCAGTTTTCACGACGCGTTATTGCGATGGCGAAGAAGGCATGGGCATCGTACGCGACATGTATCAGGAGAGAAACTGGGCGGGCGCCATCTGCATGAACAAGGTCACGATACAGTTCTTCTGCTTCATGTATAAACTCCCCGAAGTTGGCAATAACTTTAGTCTTGAAAACTTGAAGGCCACGCTAGCGAACATCCATCTGCCGCCGGTAAGAGTCCAGCCGGCCCGGCCCTGAGGGCATCCTCCTAACCTAACCATATATATAATTTAAACCTATTATTTTTTATTTTGTTGTAGTCGTGCTTTACTCCAGAAATGCCTACTCTTTGTTAGGTTAATATCCGTGATAAACTTGCGTTGTGATTTGTCGAAAAATAAACTTCCAACTTGTCCCAAATCGATGAAATTCGAGGAATTTTATGCAGTTTAAAATCCGACTTCTCAAATTTAGCTTGTATTTCTGTACATCGCCGGCGGTATTCCTAATATAGCTTATATTTCTGTGCAGCACCAGGCGGTGTTTTTAACAGAATCTCGTTTTCATTTCAACCTTCAGTTCGTGTCCGCCCCCAAGCGCGTGCTCTGCATCAACGACTTCAGAGAGTGGCTGAAGCATCGACCTCCTCCTGAACCCACAGACTCTTACGTGGACCACTACTATCTAGCGGGCACCTACTACAAAAATACCGAAACTATTGATCTCAACTTGTCGGGGGGTTTTACTTACCCCAAATGAAAAATGTTCCTTATTCATAGAGTTTTCACTAAACACGAAGTTCCAGAGAGACTCAAGCACTGAAAGAAAGAAGAATTCTTCCGGGAGCGTCCAGAAAAAAATCAAAGCTCGAGAGAGATACTCCTTCGAGATACGTTCATCGAGGGTGGAAAAATTAAGCTTTTTTATGGAAAAATTATTGTATGAATCGAAATTGCCGCATCAACATTTCATAAATTAGCTTTCCCGAATTTTTAGTGAGTTTGCCGCGGTTTATATTCGCGGATTGTTTTTAAATAACAAGTTGTTGCGATGTTTTTGTAAAGAAACGGTTTTAGTGTCTTGCCAAGAAACAGTTTTAATGACGACACACGAGATTGGACGCTCTTTTGCCTGTCCCATTTTACTTTACTTGTCCCATTTACATTTTACTTGCCTGTCCATTTTATTGAGTCACAAATGCACGCAATTCTAACATTTAATTAGTATCCCCAATTTTAGTAAAGATTTGAAGTTCGCTATAAATTGTGTTCCATTTATTAAACTCATTATGAACTCGTTTATTCAAGTTGTTTTAAGCTTAAATATCATCCTGACTATCGCTTGTCTTTGCAACCACAGCACGACAGTGTGTTTCACGTGGCATTCGTAACACAGAAAAATGAGTGAAACTTTGTCCGAAAAGTGATAAACTTTTGCCTTTTTCATCGTCTGACCAAGTTTGGGTCAGGCAAAGGGTTGTATCAGTGATACGTCCGCTCTCTGCTCGTGCTGTGGCTAACTAAATGTGTCACTATTTAGGCAAATGACCCATTCATTATTAAGTGTGACCAATTATGTATTTTACTCAGAATTAAGTGATATAAGCGAGTATTTTGACCGTGTTGTTTACGTTATTGTAATAAAAGATTTACAGAAAAATGGACATCGGAAATATCAATTCATCTTACGACACCAGACAACTGTTATGGCTTCTGCTATTTATATTGCAGCTGTTGCTGTGCACTGGCAGCTGTTGCTGTGCACTTGCAGCTGTTGCTGTGCACATGCAGCTGTTGCTGTGCACNAGCCTGTCTCTTATACACATCTAGATGTGTATAAGAGACAGTCTCTGTGCTTGTATCGAAATTTCTTACCAGCAGCGTCAGCTTGCGTCTAAAAAGGAAAATTCCAAAATATATTCACCTTGCATGTCTCTGTGCTTGTATCGAAATTTCTTACCAGCAGCGTCAACTTGCGTCTAAAAAGGAAAATTCCAAAATATATTCACCTTGCATGTCTCTGTGCTTGTATCGAAATTTCTTACCAGCAGCGTCAGCTTGCGTCTAAAAAGGAAAATTCAAAATATTCGCCTGACCTTGCATGTCTCTGTGCTTGTATCGGAATTTCTTGGCCTTGCACAGCCTGATGCCATCGATGATAGAAGCGTGATTAAGTTCATCAGAGAAGACGGCGTCGTCAGGGCTGAGCAGCACCTCGAACAGACCGGCGTTCGCGTCGAAACAAGAGGCGTAAAGAATTGTGTCCTCCCGACCGTGGAACTCGGATATCCTGGCCTCCAGCTCCTGCAACGAGCATGCATGGTCACCACCGATAATATTCAGCTAGGAAATAAGCACTATCCTCTAGTTTCGCGCTAGGCACTATCCGTTAATACCAAGACTTGTAATCAGTAAAAACCTACTAAAGCGGTATAGGCACTATCAGATAATATTGAGATGAGTAATCAATAAAAATCTATTCTCTTCTTAAACGGTAATAACAAGCCGATAATATGTAAAGATGTAATCAATAGTACAAATCAATTTCTCTATTTAAAAAGGTCAGCACACGGATAACGTACCTATGTTTTCTTAGCTAGCAGTAGACAGGGTAACTCCTCCACTCATCAAAAAAATATATATATTTTAATAAGCAGACCTTCCTCATTTGATGATAATATATCAACGAACGAAATTTTAAAAATCTATGCGAAGTTTAATTTTGTGTCTTGGTATTCACGCAAAGCCGGCTACTTGTTCGTCTAAAAGAGAGGCAATTGATTGTCTTTTATACTGTTGACTAATTTACACACAATAAGTTTTGCATGAAAGGGCAATTCAAAAGAAAAGGGCAATTCAAAATATTGATATTATTTTACCAGCATTGTTAATTGGACGCATTTAAGTAGCGGAATCGGTTAGGTATCTATATATTTGAATTTAACTGAACATTGGCGGCAGACCAGAATTTTTGCAAGTTGCGGGTCTCGAACCCACATGACGCAACTCTAATATAAGTAATCTTAACTACTAGGCAACCCCAAGCCTGATGCAAAACAACATCAGTTATCTATTGGCTGATGATGTCAACACCAGTTAGTTACCTTGCGGATGATAACGCTAACAACATCACTTATCTTGTGAATGATGATGAAAAATTAATTACGTAGTAGATGATTATATTAACAACATCATTTACCTTGTGGATGACCTGCGTGCCGCAGATGAAGCGTACGGATGACAGACCAGCTCCATACTCATCCAGTGCAGCCTTGCCGGCGGCTATCACTTCTGGATGACTCTAGTGAATGGGGAAGCTTTAAAAGAAAATGTCTACCACTTACTTGGCTTTAAACCACGACGTAAACTAAGAAACTAAAAGAATAAAATCATAATTATTACAATTACAACAATGCTTTAATGTTTGTAAATAAAGAATTGAAAAACAGCGACGATGTCAGCTTCATTCAGTTAACTCAGCGTCTCATTCCTGTTGAAATTCTTTTGGTGCGTCGAATTTTATTCCGCCCGTCTTAGATTATTGTGTAATATAATTATTATTATCATAATATTAACTATTGTTATAGAGCTATCGTTATGAACAAGCATATGTTACAGATTAATTAGTCATTGTTAAACTTGTTCTTACATGGAGCGACAATAATTTTAGTTAGGACAAATTAGCCAAAATTTAGTATTTGCAAAAAAAAAATTTTGATTAAACCCTAAAAATAAGGAAAAATAACAACGACATAGTGTCTAATAGCTTCTACGTTTCGCAAATTTTTATTGCAACAGAAAATTAATAGGTGCTTTATTCTTCAGACAATAATTTCAAATAAATTCTAAATTTGCAAATGACCGCGATGCCACTTACTGACAATCCAAGATAATTATTTGCACAGAAATTAAGAATTTTCCCCTTCGATCCTTGCACGTCGATGCCGACTGCCTGCTTGGACGTGATAATGCGCTCAGACTTCCAGGTTCCGGCAGCGCGGATGGCATCGAGCTGCTCCGCCAACAGCGTCCGGCACTCCGCCTGGGCGTGGCGTTGGCGGGAAAGCGCACCGCCGAGGTTGCCACATGCCACTGTCGTAAAGACTTCGGAATTCAATTCATGTACCAAAGGCAATATTTTGAACCTATGTCTAGTGATCTATGGACCGTCGCCAATTTTATTCGTAACAAATAATCATATTGGCAACTAGAGTTACCGATTAAACGTTACAGGTATAAAAAACATGTACTTGACTTGAGTCGTACTAATCTTCAGCTTGTACATACCTAGTCGGGCCAAAAATCAGTCACAGCCATGCAGATACTTGAAGTTGAAGAAACTAGTCATACTTGATCTTCCTTATGGCTACTGTAGCTTTAAACTAAATCAACCGTATAAAAAACATTCGTTGTCGATCATGGACAATTTTTTTGTAAAACCGACTCTCGATACATGTTTGTTCAACTTCTCCAGCAGACAGTCTTCAAGTTCATAAACATAACATTGCGATTGGGTTCAATAACATCATTCATAAGCGGCAGTCATTCAATTAAACAACGCCCACGTTCAGTTCCTCACTCTCCAGACTTGAATTTTCATCCTACCTATGTCCTCTGATTCGTACAACAAACTCACTAGTATTCGCGTATCTTAAAATAATGAAGTAATTTGATTAATTATTAACTCAATGCGCTATTATTAGTCTCTTAATCACACAACGTGCAAAAATATTAGGCCTTGGCAATAGCCTGTAGTTAATCACGAGTCACGACAGATTCAAGCGGTGATGTAGAAGTAATTAGTATTACACAATCAAATAATAATATCGTAACACCCACACTTGACACCTGCAAACAATTGTTGAATCATTGTAAAAAAAATATAACTCAGTACTCACTGCAGTGAGTGACAGAGAGCGCATTTTCTCGTCTACGAAAACTTGAGGTCACGGACGGACGGACAGACAGACGGACATGGCGAGCACAATAGTGCATTTTTTCCATAAATGAGAAAATGCGCTAAAAAGAGTGCGATTCGCAGCAATCTGAAGACCGCTACCGGCTACGCGCACGGCATGGTGACCCACGTGCTGAGAAACAAGCTTGCAGCCTCACAGCTGCGAGCATCTCAGGGTTTGCGGTCACAATAATGGAATAATTATAACGTCTATATTAAATAATAAGTCTTAACATCCGTAAGTAAACATTAGGAAAACTTAGAAAGTTTGCTTAACACTTTTGAGCAATTTTTTGTTATTGTGCTTTTCAGGAACTAATCTTAATGTATTAGATCACTCACGAGTCACGACTCACCCGGTTTTAACTTTGTGCATGTAAACGCAGTGTGTACTCAACGTAGTTCACTTGACGGAAGTGAAAATTAAGCGAACATTCGTTAAAGGATTAGAAACGAAAAAACAAAAATCAGAACTAATTATAAAACGATTGATACGATTTGAAAATATTCACCAGAGACAGATGAGCATTGAGCAGCACGAGGTAATTATTTCTAGGTACGTTAATTTTAAAACATTTTGAAATCATTGAACCCTACGTTCCAAAAGTTATATAGCCTATAAGCCATAAGGCAGGCTAAGCTTCTATACGTAAACAAAACAGCACTGAGTAGGCTGAGCCTGAATCGTTCCCGATCGGACGAATACTCACATCTACTAAATTTTGTCGCCATTTCTTCTTTTTCTCGTGTCTCTAGCACAGTAAAAATCAATTAAAACTTCTAAATTACTGTGCTACGTTATTCGATGACAGAAAATTGTTGTTGAGTTATTAGGTATATCAATCCATTGAGAATATGACTTGAGGAACTCAGAGACCACTCTCTTACACCAACCGCACCTCTTCAATGACTTTGTTCGACTAACTTAGCACCACTGCATCTCGACGTAAAGCCTAAACTAAAGACGGTCAAGTCCCCTCCGGCAACCTGCCAGCCTAATCGCCACCTGAAGCTTGTAATTTTTTTGCTATTTTTTTACGGAGAAAACGGCGAGTGCAGTGGGGAAACTTTAGAAAATAAATTATGCCTACAGAATTGCATAACAAAACTTCTTAAACGAAAAAGAATTCAAAGTTGCGTACAGCATGATGAATAAATAGGCTTTTTTAATAAATAATAGTTTGAACTAGAGTAAATGCAATTAATATACTTAGAAAATTAGAAGACAAGCTTCACACCATGAAAATGAATTTTATTCTACTGCTGTTTGTGCTGCTCATTTTCTCTGCTTGCTTGTTGGAGCGAAATCATTGAGAGATAAAATGATATTAAAAACACGCGCCCGGTAAGAATAAATTTGCGATATAGACCTGAATTATTTGATAACTGTTTTTGTTTACTTCTAAAACTAATGCATCATGATACACTTCTGTCGTAATATTCATTTTTAGAATGACGTTCTGTGAATTTAAATTATGATGAAATCCTGGTCATTATTATTGATTGGTCCAACATTTCGCTTTTGTCGATGATACGCAAGTTATAACTACGCACTAAATTAAATTGCCTATCAACTAAACCTTCATGATACTACTCAGAACTAAGATTTGCAAGGTTTGATTACCATATAATAGATACGAAACTATTCCGATCCTGCTTGAAAGTTGTGGCTTAGTTTTATATAAAAAAATGAATCATTCTTATAATTCTATTGGAGGCTAGCGACATAAGTGTTGTGGCAACATCATTGGCTTAAGCGTTAATAGTTTTTTACCGTTGATACGTTATTGCGGCTTACAAGATCATTGTTATATTGATTCATATTGTGATTATCAGCTACGCATCATGAGTGGCAACATCACCGAACGCATCATATTCAAGTATTATTCCGGCAACAAGCATAAGGCTCATTCACTCAGGGAACTTAATGAACGGAGCGCTATTTGTTTTCCGAAATGGCTCGTACACCCGCGTTGTGCCATGCTAATTATACCTTCCATATGTTATTGCTGCCAGCGACCCCATATATTGCTAGCTGACGTGACGTAATCTGTGTGTACTCGACCTCTCTATTCCTATTAACCTGTAAGCCGTTTACCTCTTCCGCTCATCAGCTCGAATTTTTAGACCATGAGGCACAAGGAAGGCGGTATCTCTTTGAGGGATGACGGCATGCCACAACTCTATCCCGATTATATCATGCCATCAAATATCAAATTCTCGACAATATTTAAAAAAATATTTGCAGAACAACATAATAATCAGCATCCGTTCTTGTAATATTGCGTATTAAGAGAAGCAACATGTTCATATAAAGGTATTTCGGGCCAGCATTTGGATGCATGGTGATGTTGAGGGTGGGTAGTGTATTCTAAATTTATTTTGGGCATGGTTCAGCTAGGCGCAAGTGGGTATGACCGACTTTTAGGTGGCATTCATCTGTGACCAAATATTTACCCGATGTTTTTATCCAACGCAGATTTTTATTCACCCATTACGATCGTACGGGTATGGTAGGGCATGGTTGATCAACCATGGGGTAGGGTGTTTCTCATGCTATGAGAAACTGTTCGGATTTACCCTGTCTCGAACAACGGAGGTCTTGTCTAGTTCGGACTCTTTCCCTACTAAATCACTTCATCTGCTCGTAGACACACAATATTATTGCGCAGTATTTTTGTTTGTGCAATAATACCGATTGTTTAGTTGCCATATTGATGGTTTGTGCAATCTATTGTGTTAAACTTATTTACAAGATCTTGAAAACATATTGCATAACCTGGGAAAACTTGTGTCGTCAATGGGCTACATTACGCAATATTCGTTTAGTCAGTTCGTGCGACCCTAGAGGGTATAAATAAACCCTCTAATAAATAATAAACTTCTCCCCGTTAATAAACCAGTACTTGGACTATTTCTCTCTATCTCCGAGCCTTCTCTTTTATATTCTACAACTTTCGGCCACATACAACTATGACATGATTCAATTTCGTTTAAAATGCTAACTACATTAAAGCCTGACAGGGACCGTTTAAGCAAATTACGAGTATATTGTGTGTCTAGGGGCGTAGCTGCGCAATAGGGTATAATGTGCAATCGCTCAATATGGCTCCTAGACACACAATATTATTGCGCAAACCTAAATATTGCACAATAATATTGAGCGTCTAGGGGCTACCGTCAATATATGGTGCAAAACATACTGAGCATATTGTGGATCTAGGTCTAGGAGCTGCATGCTTACGTCCGTGACTTGCACCTCGCTATCAATTTCGAGCTCATTTCTCACCTCAGTCGTTATCAATACAAATTTAGTAGTATCGCAGTACAAATATAGCCGCGCATTTTGGAATCATCGGGCGGTTTACCAGTGGTTGATTGAGGGTGGTCAGCGGCTTACATGCGCACACATGTTATTTGGCCACCAGCATCCGTTAAACATATGTTACTATACTGTATGGCAGTGCTTGTTCCCATGACTGATAACGACGTGCTGATAACTGGTGCGAACTAAAGCAGCGAAGGAATGTAGCACAAAGTAGCAAACTAATATGAGGGTTACAGTTGTGAAGCTGATTCATGAGTCTTGAACTGGGCTGCCTCGTCCGAGTCCAACCACGTTGGCCAACGGTCGTGTGACGGTGTGAGGCGTCAGTGCGCTGCAGACGGAGTGCGAGATCGTATGCAAGTGTCACCATCGTGGCTTCGCTAGCAGGCTCTCCCTCTGAATGCTTGTCAAATTTACGCTCTCTCGAACTTACCACCTGCACGTACAGGGAAAATATTTATGCTTCTTAGATGCCACTTCATGACTGTAGTTAGCTTGCCTGTTGCTGTGCATCTCATTAGTGGCGTTATCGGCTGTGAGCTCGTGACAGATATTCTTCACCAGGCAGACGAAGTTGATTCGATAGTACAAGGTTTAATTCAACGTCCGATGTCTGGTGGGTCGCGATTAGTCAATTAACAATCCTGAGGCCTGAAAAGTGGACGAAGACTATGTCTAAGCTTAGTACCGTATACTTGTTCGAACTACTTCAACTCGTTAATGATCAAAGCCAGCTCAGGAATAATAATAAAAAGATGTGATACGGGTCAGAATTATTCTTATTTCATAGTCATTATCTATGAGTTTTTTCTGTTAAATCAATAATATTGTGGATCTTGGCACTATTGTGACCATTTTTACAATACGAATAATTTTATTGAAATAAGGAGCCGACTAAAATTTCATTGACAGCAGAATATCTTGAAGTTGGAAGTACAAGATTATGAAGATAATAGGTATTTATAAATTTGTAAATCAAACTCATCCTCACCTTAGTTTCCTACTCTGGAATTTCCTTATCATCTTTGCTTGCTGTTAGTATATTTTGTGACGGGGAAAGGTGTTAGTTACCTTTGCAGTAAATATTTGTAAAATATTTGTGTCAATTACCTAAATGGCCAAAAGGCCCCTGATTCCAATACGTATGCTCTGCGTCTCACGCATCCTCACAAAGTTGGACGAAGTTAGTCTTATCTCAGCTAGGCTAAAAAGTTTGAGCTCCCTGTTGAAAAGTTTCCCGCGTGCTAATTTTTTCATTCATTAAAATTTCTGACCCGTTTGGGGAATAGTCACAAAATTTCTGCGAACAACTTTGTTTTTGGGAATAATTTTTTTTCAGCCAGCAATTGATCGGGCCTGGTAATATAGGTATATGTCGAGCAATAAAGTCTCTATTAGGTATTTATAAATGGAACGTGTAATTCAGAACAAAGACTCCTCGCTACGTATTGTCCGTTGCGACTCGTGATCGTTCAGGGCATTCGTAGTTTTTCCACGAAGAAAACCCAAACCGTACGTTGCTTATAGCGCGGCGAGCTCGCGTTACGCCCCGACTTAGTTCATCTGTGAGACGGTGTGCTGCTAGTGTTAACCCTCCTGCTGAGCCCAAAGCAACACTTGATTTGATTTGACGGAGTGCTTTTTCTGTGGACGTGCGTTGACAAAATCACATCCGATGTGATTTTCAAGAGTTTCTGAGAAATAATTAAACATATAATTAATTGTTATTAAGGATAGATGCGGCGATCGTCTGACAAGACGATAAATTTGTGCAATAAAATGCATATAGATGTAAGGGGAAATGGCGATCAATCAACGAATTTGAAAATACCACCAATTTTTTTTACTTTACGTAAATAAATTAGCTTTTATCCCCCTTACAATGCAATGTTACCAATTTGTATTACGACGGGACCAGACTTCGTGAATTCAATTCTAATGATTGCTAATGTTTTCGTTAATATAGCATGCGTACTGTTATACTAACATGGAACATTAAAGAGACAATATTAATTCAAACATTTATTTATTGACCCTCTTAAGCTTTAATGTCAGGCCAGTAGAGTGGTCTTTAGTGTAAGTTGACGAAGAAATGGGAGTAAAAGTTGTGGTTGACGACGCACTCGTTCTACGCTGCAGAAGACAGCATGTACGAGATTAGCACGTGTGCCAGACGTGTGAGGGAGAGGAGACGGTCGTTTTTACTCTACGTTAGTCGGGTTTATTGGAGATTTCCGCCACACTTACGCAGATCTTAATATTGCTGTCTCAAATACTTACCATTACTCTCTCAAATACTCAAAATTTTACCATATTTACTGGTGTAACTGCAGCTGTTGTTATTTTTTCCTCAGATTTTCAGACGAAAACATCGGTATATTTATAACCTACGCGCGGTCATTTAAATTAAGGAAATTCAGTTAAACATTATGTCAATTAAACATTTGCCCTTAAATACTAGACTCAAAAATTCATTTTTTCCGCCAAAGTGTATGTAATTATAGTTATAGAGTTATTTGACCGAAATTTTTGTGTCTCGTCTTTAACGTGACTCATTTCACGAATACACGTCAGGGGAACTCGTGCGAGAACTCGCCGTGTCATTGCGGTCAATGACGGTTTTTTTTTCGTTCTTTA